GCCAGAGCCCGGACTCCGGCTCCCACCGCGGGTGTCCCTCCCAGCCGCTTCCTGCCGGCAGCCTTTGACCGGTTCCTGTCGGTGACCACCCCGCAGGCCTGGACGCCAGCGCAGCCCCATCTGGTTTGAGTTACGCTCCGTGGCGGTGACGTCTCCTTCCTGTCTGGCCCCAGGAGCTGCGCGTCGCCCGGTCCCGGCCCTGGCCCCGGCCGGCCACAGGGGCTGCAGGGCCCTGCTGCAGGGTGGCCATGGGGTTCCCAGATGGACCATCGGCCCTGGACGCTCCTGGCACCCCAAGCTGCTCTGGGGGATCAGTTCCTGTACAGAGCCCTGCGTGTGCACGTCTGCAGCACAGAGATACACAGGCACCAGCACATCCCAGGGTGGGCGACTCTACCCCACAGCCCAGTTTGGCAGCTCCAGCCTCTTCCTTCCCACCATGGGACCACACAGGGACACCCATCGAGGTGGGATGAGTGGGGCCACAGTTCTGACACCCGTGGAAGTAGATGAGATCCCATCCCCTGCTCCCAGCTGAGAGGCATGACAGTTTGTAAGGACCCAAAGCTCTGGGGAGTGAATTGGCCCTGCCAGGGCCAAGGGACACAGAGACAGGGCTGCTCCTGGTCCAGCACAGGCCACGGCAGCCAGTTCCATCCCTCCTGCATGGGGTCCTTGTCACCCCTATGAACGCACAGCACAGTCTGGGTGTGCATGCGTGTGTCCACAGCATCCATCCTCAGAGCCTGTAGCAGCACAAATTCCCCATGTGGGCCTCAACCCCACCCCTGTGGCACCCATACTGCCCGGAGAAACAAGGGGCCCTGCAGGCAGCACAGGGAGGGAGGGGGAGCGGGCAGTCCTCAGCACTGGCACCTGGCAGCACCAGCAGCAGCAGCAGCAGCAGCAGGTTCTCCCCGTGACCGGGTGCAGCTCAGTCCTGGCCACGGCACAGCCCAGGATGGGAGCGGGCGAGTGGGCAGAGGGCCAGGCCACCCACTGCGAGCCAGGAGCGAGCCAGGGAGGAGGCAGAGCCGGGAGAGCAGCGGGTCCATGAGCAGGAGTCAGGGTGGGCGTGGGGAAGGGGAGCACTGGGAGAGCGCACGGCTCTGATCTGCACGGCCGGGCGGTGCAGGCTGTGATGAACAGGGGTCCCCATCCCCCAGTCCGGGGTGGGCAGTGGGATGCACCACACTGCTCCCAGCACAGGCACCCCGTCCTGGGCACCGTGTGAGGCCGGGGCTGTGTGTTCCCAGCCGGGGCGGGCGATGGGCCCGGCCACGCTGCGTGGGAACCAGACGGCCCCTGGGCACGGCTGCGGCGTTCGCTTCCTCCCGCGCCCCCGGGGACCGCGCAAAGGAGGGGGCTGAGGTCAGCCGCGCTTGCCGCCGGCCGCTCCAGAGACGCCAGCATGATGTAGGCGCTCAAATATTGTTTTCCACTGGGTAGGAAAAAAAATAAAAGGGAGAAAAGAGAGGCCCAGGGTTGAGTGGCCGTCCTCGATGACGAAGGGCGGCCCCCCCCTGCCCTGCCCGGGGCTGGGACACAGCCACGGTCCAGCAGCCGCCGTCTGGGGGCTGATAACAGGGCTGACGCGGCCGCGGTGCTCCCGGTCCCCGAGTGACGGCAGTGTTGTGCCTCCGTGCCAGCATGGCCCCCGCGGAGACCCCCAAGATTGGCCAAGCTGGGGTCCCACTGGCCTTGGGGGGCCGGGGGAACTCTGCCACAGATCTGCTCCCCGCAGCAGCATGGAGAGCTCCTGTCAGCCCTACGTCCTGAGGTTGGCTGTGCTGTGGGGTCCAGGCATTGATGCTCCTGGGGAGCTCCTTGTCCCAACCTGGAAGGAGTGCACAAGTACAGCCCCCCACTTTGCCAGCATCACTCTGGCCTCGCTCCAGTGCTGCAGAGGTGCTGACTTGGATGTTCCAGCAGCGTGTGGGAAGGGGCTGGTGGCCAGGTCCCATCCTGTGGCTGTATGGGGACCCCTGCCCATGCTTGTGTCCCACAGCCTGGCCAACAGGGGCAGGTCCCTGTGCCCAGCCCGGTGTCAACAGCGGTGACTCAGCTGGTGCCTCCTCACTGGCAGCCACCCGGCGTGATTCAGGTCGGAGGAATCCACTTTCCTGGCTGTTCCCACCAGAGCTGCAGCCCCTGGCACAGCCCATCTCTTGGGGTGCCCTGGCCTCGAGGTCTGCAAGGACTAGTTGGGATCCCAGCCAGGCACTGGCTCAGCCACAAGCAGGGAGAGAGAGGGGAGGAAGCCCTGACTCCCCACAGCAGAGCCCCCACACTGTGCCACAGCCCCCGGAGTCTCCCTGGCATCTCTCTGGGGTCACACTGGTGCAAGAGCAGGGCCTCACAGTGAGGCTGGTGCCACTTGTGCCATGTGTGGCACCCGGGGTGAAACCAGGCACCTGGAAGGGTCCCAGGCACAGGGACATGACAGCGAGGCTCCATTGGGGAATAACTTCTGTTGCAGCAGATCCCCCTGGCCCCCGGGGACAAGGTTCCTTCAAGCTACCAGGGGATGGGGCTTCAGGGGGTCCTGGCCCCACATTGTGTCAGGACCTTTTCCCCAGTGCCTCCCAGGGACACAGGACCTGGATGTAGGTGCCCTGATCAGGCCATGCCCTGTGTCCCCGTGGCCTCACTGTCCAGCCAGTGGAGAGGCCAGCAGGGATGGGGGGTGTGCTGGGTGGCCTTGGGGATGTGTGTCCCCCAGCCAGCGCCTGGGCTGAGGCAGGGGGTCCCCAGCTTGCCCCTGCCCACTGCCCACCTCAAGCGGGGCACAGAGACCACAGAGGCAGCATTGGGGAATGTGCTTTATTGGGTGCTGGTGTGTACCAGGGTGGGGAGTCCCTCACTCGAAGAAGAACATGCCGGGTGTCCGGTAGAGGCAGGGGGGCAGCCCCAGGGGGTAGCCGTTCCCCCCCTGCAGTGGGATCGCAGCCCCCGTCCCCCATGGCTCCTTCTGCTCGCCCGCCCGTGGCCCCACAGCCCCAAAGGGTGGCTGGCGGGGGGCAGCAGGGGCCGGGGGGGCTGCAGCCAGGAGATGCTCCAGCGCTGTGCCGCATGGCCGCTCCTTCATGCAGAAGCTCAGCGCCTGCACCCGGCACTGGTAGCTGCTGCCCAGCACCTCGGGCCCCGGCCGGCCAAAGGAGCTGAACACGGGCAGGGAGGGCTGCATGTAGCCCTCTCCCTCCAGGAAGCAGGATGGAGGGGGCTTGCCCGTGCCCAGGAGGGTGCCAGGGAATGCAGGTGGCACCTGCCCGAATGGCTGGCCCGTCCCCAGCCCGGGGGCAGCCGGCTCCTCGCCCTCCAGCTGCCCCGGGGGGGTGCCTGGTGTGGCCGGCGAGTCCTGCGGGGGGTCCCTGTGCTGGGTGGGCAGCAGGGCGGGCAGCAGGGCAGGGTGCTGGGCCGGGTGCTCGCCGGGCAGCGGGTACTGACCTGGACGGGGCAGTTGCAGCGCTGCCGGGAGCCCCCCGAAGACAGTCTCCTTGGGTGGGCGGCTCTCGGGGGGTGCGAAGAATGGCCCCTTGGGCTGTGGCGTGTCCGGCAGGTACAGGCAGGGCTGTGTGGCCTTGGGTGGCTGACGCCGGGCACAGGGCTCAGCACACCCTGGCACCCCGGCACCCTCGGACAGCGTGGCAGGGCTCGGCAAGCGCCCCGTGGCTGCTGGTGACTTGTAGCCTCCCTCTGCCTTCCCCTCCTCAGGCAGCAGGGCAGCAGGCAGCCCCCGTGCCCGTGACCTGGGGGTCTTCCCACGCCCCTCATCCCCCTCAGTGCCCGGTGCATCCCGGAGGCCCCTCTTCCTGGTGAAGCGCCGGCGGCGCCGCAAGAAGCTGCCGTTCTCAAACATGTTGTAGCAGTCCGGGTCCAGGGTCCAGTAGTTGCCCTTGCCCGGCTTCTTGTCGTCGCGGGGCACCTTGACGAAGCACTCGTTGAGGGACAGGTTGTGGCGGATGCTGTTCTGCCAGCCCTGCTTGTTCTCGCGGTAGAAGGTGAAGCGGCCCATGATGTAGCGGTAGATGCCACTGAGGGTGATGCGCTGCTCGGGCGCGCTCTGGATGGCCATGGTGATGAGGGCGATGTAGCTGTAGGGTGGCTTGGTGGCCTCGGTGCTGGGGAAGGGGCCACCGGCTGGCTCGGGGGCTGGTGGGCTGCGCAGCACCGCGTCGCTGACGGGGAGGTCCGGCTGCATCCTCCCGGCCAGCCGCTGCCGTTCCAGCCCTGCCGCTGATCCCGCTGATCCCGCTCTGCCGCACGGCCCCAGCACGGCCCGTTAAAACCCGCCGGCCGGCGAGGGGGCGGCGGGCCCCTCCTCTGAGGGGCCGCCCAGGGCGGAGCGGGGCTCCGCCATCCAGCACTGGTCCCTGTGGACAGACGGACGGATGCGCCGCCAAGACCTGCGGCCAGCAGCCAGTGGCCCCGGGGCTGGCACAGCCGCAGCCTCCCCAGGGTAGAGGCGGGCACAGCCCCCGGCTCCCCCAGCCCCTTTTCCCACGGAAGGTTCCCACGACCTGGTTCTTATCCTGCCCTGCTCACAGTGCCCCGCCGGGCTCCAGCTGGGCCTGGAGCGGGGCTCAGTGGGGAGATGCTGGCAGGGCTGAGGGTGCTGCCTGCCCTCAGATGCCCATCTGCCCCCTGCCCACCCCAGTGCCTCAGCCCCTGCTCTCAGCCTGAGCTTGTGCCAGATCCTGTGCTGTGCCAGGTCCCTGCACCATTCCCAACCCTCAGGGTGCAGAATGGCCCCCAGAAGCCCACTCACTCCACTCACCAGGGGAAACTGAGGCACAGGCAGGGAGTGCCTTTGGGACAGGCTCCCATGTTGCCAGTTCAGTAGAGCAGCTAAGGGCACCTCGCTGCTGCTTTCAGCCCTGCCAAGGCACTCGCATGAGAGGCAGGATGGGTCTGGAGCCGCCACATGAACGGGGCTGTTCCCTTGTGGCTGGGGCTGAGTTGGCTTTGCCCACACTATGCACACTTGGCTTCCCCAGCCACCTGTGCTCCCCTCATACTGGCACCAGTCCCCCACACCAGAGCCAGCCCCTGACACTGGTACCAAAACACAACCTTTATTTCTAAGTTTCACAAATGGCAAGTCCCGGTGGTGCAAGGATGGAGCCGGCTCTGCCCCAACTGGCTGAACAGGCACACAGCAAATCCCACCTGGGGACCTCCTGGGCAATAAATACAGCACTCACGAGGGCAGCAGTGCCCGCCCACCCTGGCCAGAACCTGCCTGCATCCAGTTCCTCATGCTGAGCACCCTGTGCACTCTGCCTCGGGACACACAGCTGGAGTAAGGCCGTGGGGCTCAGAGCCTCCTGCTCTGAGACTTTATGGTGACTGAGCTCTCTCCCGCCCAGCTCAGGGCTGGCAGAGCTGTTTGAGGACATGAATAACGTGGCTGGAGGTGCCGGGGGCACAGAGCTGGGGGGAGTTGCGGAGCAGCGTTGGCCTCAAGCGCTGGGCGTGATGGAAGAGCTCCCGTGCAAACACCGGCTCCACCTGCAGAGGCACAGAGTGATGGAATAGGCACAGGTCTGTGTCCCCCACTGCGATGGTCCCAGTGCCCGGCTCAGGGTCACCAGCCCTGGTGTATACTCACATGGGCCATGATGAGCTTCTGGAAGGGGTGCCCGGCTCTGGTGGGGAATTCCTCCCCGAAGCACAGGTGGATCTGGTACTGCGGCATGAGCTGCCCATTGCTCAGGTACTCCCACAGCTCTGCAAGACACCAACCCTGTCAGGGGACAGGGGGTCCCCACGGCCTCGAGCAGCCATGCCAGGGCAGGACCTGCCCAGTTTCCCGAGGGGATTGGGGTCTCCTGGGGTGGCGGGCAGGACTTACGCTGCAGGTACTGCTGTGTGTCCAGCAGCTTGTAGGTCTTCTCCCTCTCCAGCTTGTTGGGCCAGTTCCTGTGTGGGGCCAGTGGCCCGTTCCAGTACACCCTGCCCTGGCACTGGCGCTTCATGAAGACCCCCTCGGGCGCTACCCACAGCAGGACCCCGCGCTCCAGGTGGGGCAGGAGCCGCTCCAGCACATTGGCCATGGCGGCCGCGTGGCTGTGGCCGCTGAGTGCCTGCGGTGGGGGGAACTCGATCTGCTCCATGCAGGAGGGGCCGTAGAGGCGCTCGCTGTCGGCCGGCACGGCGCGGCTGGTGATGCGACAGCCCTCGGCCGTGCGGGTGGTCACCTCCTTCACCAGCACGTCGCAGTAGTAGAGGCGGATGTGGAGCCAGCAATCTGGGGCAAGGGGAGAGTCAGCCTGCGGGCAGCCCGGGCTGGTGGGGCTGTCCAAGGCATTGCCCACCAGTGTGGCTCCTACCTGAGTTGTTGACATCTTCCACAGGGAGGTAGGACTGGGGTCTGGGGAGGAACTGCCCATGGATTGGGTTCCAGCCGTAGAAGACTCCTCTCACGAGGTACCCTGGACCAGGGCAGAGATGAGGTGGTAAAGGGATGTGGGCAGTTGTCCTCGAGGACTCCCAGGTGTTCTCCTGGCCTGGTGGGCAGCAGGGTCCTTTGCACCATGTTTGCTCATTACTGGGCTTCATAAGAGCCCCTAAGTACATGATTAAGTGGCTTTGCAGGGACCAGGAGGGAGTCCCCAGCCCCTGTCTTCATCCCCAGAGGTGTTGCCTCCACAGAGCAAGAGAGCAGGATCTCTCCTGCTGGGAAGTGTGTGCTCCCTGCCACCAGCCCCATCCTGTCCGCAGGGACCCTCCTCACCTCTCTCAGTTGGATGGGCAGAGAGCAGGGGCTGTGGAGATCTGTGGTCTGCCTCCAGTGTGTCTTTCTGGCTTTCCTCCTTCTTTGGACTCCCTGCAGTGCTGCCCTGGGGGTAGGAATGGCTTCAGTGAGGGCTGAGCTGGCAGCAGGGGTCCCTGAGCTGGCTCCTGCCTCTGCCATGACCTCATGCACCAGCAGATCCCCTGCCAGAGTCTGGCAGCTGCATGGCACAAGGGACTCTCAGCAATGCCCCATGGGACAGACACAGGCAGTGTGCAGCCTGGAGAGCAGCTGACGGACGAGGGGAGTTTTGGGGGTCCCACCTTCTCCCCTGCCCGGATGGCACTGGGTGAGCTCACCTGCTGGTCCTCACTGCCTGGGGACTGTGTGTCACTGTCCTCTGCAGAGAGCAAGGAAAGACCGATGAGCCCCTGGTAAACAGCAGGAACAGTCCCAGGAAAGGCAGCTGGCTGCCCAGGACACCCAGAGAGGAAGAGGAGTAGGAAGGAAGGGTGATGTCTGCAGGACATGGGGCTCGTACAGTCATGGTGCAGGCAGCAACCCCACATCTGGCACAAGAGGAGGGACGACAGGGACGTACCTGCATCACAGGCTCTGTCAGTCACGATCTGGTACACTTTGTAAGGCTCAGAGATATCCAGCTGGCTCCGCTCTGGCACCTCCTGGAAGTCGGTGCTCTTGTTGAGGGCACAGCGGAGACGAGTCTTCCAGGTGGAGGGGTCAGCCTTGTCCGTCCCTTCCTGGTACTTCCCTTTGTAGATGGCCCAAGCCTGAGGGACAGAGGGTGCCCTGTGCTGCGGGGGCTGCCCACACCCCGGCCCCTCGCTCTGCTGCCCAAGGGGACCCTCCGCGGTACGAATGCACCAGGGCTGGGGGGGACCGTGGGGAACCGGGGCTATGTGTCCTGGGGGGTCCCAGGGGAGCACACGGAGCCGAGCAGCAGGGAGCCCCAGGCAATGATGAGCTCCGGGGGTGTGCACGGAGCCCCGGGGGGGCGAGTCCCGGGGGCGCTCCCAGGGCCAGGTGGTGATCGCGGGGAGCCCGGGGTACCTTGAAGAGCGCGGCGTCCTGCTGCTGCCGGTAATCCTGCTTGGCCGCGTGCTTCCAGGGGATGCGGAAGAGCGTCCGGTGCCGGTTCTCCCAGCGCAGCCCCGGGTACCGGCCGCTGTCGATCTGCGCGATCAGCCACTCCTTCAGCCGCATGGGCGCCCCCGGCTCCGCCATCGCGGCCCGGCGCCGAAACCGAAAGCGGCTCCGGCTTTCACTTTCCTTTTCCCGGCCCACGCTGCCGGCTCTGGCTGCTCCACGACAGAGGGGACGGTTCTTAAATTTTTTTCTTTGACTCAGGTTTCCCGCAGCGGTGTCTGACGTCCGAGTTCAGGAACGAGTGATGCAGTAATTGAGCAGTGCAGCAGTGGGACTCCGGGAGGGACCCCCAACAAAGGCATCCCCGGGGTTTCTTGCCCTCACAGTCAGTGCACCCATGTACACCAATGGAGATTTTAGGCTCTTTCTGTTGCTCATTGGCTCCTGCAGAGTCCTGGGTGACCAACCTCCAGCCCGGCCTGTGCCGCAGGTAGAGGGAAAGGGTGGGCGCCCATTCCCTGCTGTTACCTAAGGCTCAGCCTTTTCCTGTCACCCAGAACACAATGTGCAGCTCGCACTGGTAGTTTACACACCTAGATACTCGCACTAGGTGTATTTCTCAACACAGGCACCCTGCACCCACAGAGGAGGGGACAGGGCACTAGAAAGCACGTGGAATTCCCCTGTACCCCTCCAGGGTGCCTCCCTTTAGACTTTTAGGACTCTCACTTGCTACCCAAAGGGAGCAAGGGACCCTGCTCCCCCATCCTCCTGCTTTGAGGATCCAAACACCTCCCAGCCCCAGGGACTGTGTCCTCCCTGGGACCAGCAGGTCATCCCGCGGGTGTGGGGAGCTGCGGGAACAGCACGGAGTTTCCAGGGTGGTGTGAGCAGTCACATGTTCCCATGTCTCAGATCTCTCCTCTGTTCTTATCTGTCTCTGCTCAAGTCTGTGTCGCGGGGCTCTGTGCCCTGAGTTGAACAGGAACAGGGTGGGAAGGGCGGATGAGCTGCGCCAAGGGCTGCTGGGGCCGGGGAGGAAGCCTGACTCATCCTGCACCAGCTCCCCGCTGGCCCTCAGCAGGGCACGGGCTGGGTCGCTGGACCACCCTGCGGTGACACTAGTCCTGGCTCCTTCATCCCTGCTGCAGAGCCCCATGTCACTGTGCAGGGAAACCCAGCTCCTCTGCCCTGCTGCAGCCCCCCCCGGCCACCTTTTGCAGCCCCTCAGGTCCCTTTTCCAGCTCTGAGTCAGAGAAATTCACCTCTCGAAGGGAGGCTCCTGAGAGCTGCTGGGGCTGCAAAGTCTCCAAATGAATAATCAGCAGCAGAGCGCCCCGGCTCGGGCTTTCCAAAAGGACGTGTGGATGGGACATGGCCACGTGGCACAGAGGGCACATGGGGCCACGGCGGGTGTACGACCCAGCCACACAGGCAGGGGTTTTCTCTCCTTACTGAGCCTGTCCGGGGCCTCTCTGATGCAGAGCAAAGCCCAGGCAGCCCCTGCACCTCTCTGCTGGGCGTGCCGGGGGGCCACATTCCGGGAAAAGGGCCTGGGACTGACGGCCAGAGAACCCACACGTCCCCCTTCTGCCTTGGGAAGTGGAGCAATGGCAAGGGGTCATTGCAGAGCCTCTCAGTGGCTTGCACAGATTACATTCAAGGCCGGGAAATAATCGCAGCCGCCGGCTCTTTTGCCAGCCCCGGCCCCCTGGGATAAGCTTTATCGGCCAGGGATTTCATGTGCTGTGACAGCCGCGTGGTGACGCGGGACCCGGGGGATCTAATTACCCGGGCATCAGCGAGGAGGATCAGGAGCCGGATTCCACACCAGATTCCCCACTGTGCTGTTCCCTGTGCGGGGAAGGTGAAGCTGCTTAACCCTTAAACTTTTCACGCAGAAATGAGCTTCAAAAAGGAGTCAAACATTAACTCGTGGCTAACCCTGCCCTCGCCCGGGGTTTTCCGAGTTGTGCAAACCAGATCTGCCAAAATGAATATATTTTGCTGTGCTGCTGAGCTGGGCTGGAGGGGCCACAGCCCTGTGTGGCTTACAGCGGGAACAGGGGAATCCCTGCGTGTAAACACCTTGGCATAGCGTGTCCCAGCATGGGAGGGTGCAGCTGTGCATGAGGCACACATCCATCCCAGCTGTGTGGTCCTGGGGTGCAGGGCTACCACCCTGCTGGGTGCTGGGGGGCCAAAGGGTGCCAGAGAGCCCTGGCCTGGAAGCAAGGGAATTGGAATAGCAGCCTGGCAGGAGCTGGGAGGAGAGGGGGACCCCACACCAGGACCTTCCTCCTCAGCATCCCTGTTCCAACCCAGCCACCACAGGGGAGTCAGACCACAGAGAAGGGGCGTTTATTACTCAGGGACATAGAAAGTCTTTAAGCAAAATGGCTTAAGGCTCTAGTGAGGTCTGGCCAGGTTAAACGCTTGGTTCCCACCTGTTGCAGATTGTGCCCTGGAATGGGCAGGAATGGGGTGCAATGGATTCCTAAAGCTACAGTGCTTGCTCAGGGCTTGTGCTTGGCCAGGTTGGAGCTGGACCCTCGTCTAGGAGCCAGTGTGGTGGCATTACCTGCTGACACACCAGTGTGTCCCTGCTCCGCAGCCACCTGGGCGCTGGGAGCTTGTGCTGCTGGTGGGAAAACTGCTCTGAGAGGAGCACCAGCTCTCCTGCACCCTGTGCACCCTGAGGCCTGTGCAGTGGGTACCCAAGTGCTAAAGCTGCTGCTGGCAACACCTGGGTGCTGGTCTGTGGCAGAAGAGACCCCCTCTGTGTTCTGGCCTGAGCCTGCAGTGACTTGGGGGCAGAGACCCGCGTCCCCAGCATGCCAGATGCAAAGAGGATGAGCCCAGCGTGTGCTGCAAAGTCCAGCAGTTCCCATGAATCCCACCCACACAGAGGGTGGCATGCTCCCAGCCCAGAAGAGAAGAAGGAGATGGGCTTGGTGCAGGTCCTTGCCCAGTGCTCCCCATCCCACTGTGTTGTGTCCTTCATCTCTCCCAGGCTGTTGCGTGATTCTCGCTGCTCTCCCTTGGCTGGGGTCACTTCAGACAAGCCGGGATGCAGGAGAACGTCCTCTTCACCCGCAGCAGGAAGGGACTTGTGCTTCTGATGTCTCTGGCTCTTGGGACCAGTCCTTGCTGAGCTCCCTCTGTCCTGGATGTTCCTTCTCTCCCTGCTGGCAGCAAGGCCTTTATTTCTTCCTCATCATTGAAAGGGGATGTCCCATACCTCTGCTTCAGGTGCCTGCGGACCTGGGGAAGGAGTGAGAAGCAAAATAAGGTGCCAGTTTCCAAGGGCAGGTCCAAACCAGCCAGAAAAGGGAGTGGGGAAGAAACGGAGTCCCCTCAGGACCTGTCCTTGCTCTGAGGCCCATGGCAGGCTCAGCAGAGCAGAGCACAGGTGGCAGAGGCCGGTCCCACCTTGCGGGCTGCGCTGCCGCCGAACTCAGACAGCTGCTGCCTGAAGCCAGGGTTGGGGTTGGCGACGGGCCGGATGGTTCTGATGGCATCCAGCACCTCCTGGCAGCTCAGCTCCGTGACGACCATGACATACGCAACGACCACGGTGGTACTGCGGGAGATGCCAGCGAGGCTGGCAAGGGAAAGTGCAGAAAGGCTTGGGTTGGTGGCACACCCTGAACCCACACTCCCCTCTTCCTCCACCCCTGTGCCTCAGTTATTGCAGTTCCTCTTTTCCAAGGACTTGCTCTCCCAGAGGTCTGAGGCCTTCCAAGGTCCTGGCCATCAGTGCCTATAAATACCCACTCCTCCCCAGGGAATGGGAGCAGCGGCCGCTGCCTGGCTGCCTGCCCCAAACCTCGCTCATCCCACATGCTCAGCTGCAGCAAGAAACTGCCCTGGCTCCAGGACTGCCTGCATCCCGCTGGATTTGAGTCACAAGCTGCAGCTGAGGGTGGATCCTGGGTGGATCTGTGGGCACGGAGCCCTCTGGCACAGGCTGGCTTTGATCAGGGGTCTGCAGCCCAAGTGAGGGGCTGGATCTCTGCTGAGCTGAGGAAACACAGCACCAGGCATGGGGGAAGAAGCATTACCAGTGGACGAGGCAGTTCCCTCCATGCAGGCGACACTGGTGGATAAAACTGATGCATTCCTTGAAGTGCCTCTTGCTAGCAGGAAAAATAAATCAGACAGAATAAGAACTTCAGGGGTGGAACAGGATTTTTGGCCACAGGCAGAGCAGCCCTGTGTGTTTGAGTTGCTTTAGGGGCTCTGCCAGCCACTGCTCAGACCTGAGCAGCTCAGTGCAGTTTATTCCCAAGGGAAGGTGGATCTGCCAACTCATGCCATGCTTGAGCAGGGGACACTGCTGGGGATGGATGGGGCTGCCCTGTGACTCATGTGACTCGTGCTGGGGCAGTGGGATGTTGGCTGCTCACACCTTCAGCCACTTCAGCACCCTTGGCTGGCTCCTTACCCTTTACCTGCTCTTCCTCCTCCAGACAACTCCCAGGAGGATGCTTGCTGCTCCTGTCCATGGGTGCTGCAGAGGGGCTGCCCATTGCCTCACCTCAGGGCTTGGAGCCATTCACAGTGGTCACTGTACTGGGATGCTGTTGGGGCCCAGGGGTGGTCCCCAGCACTGCAGCATCACACCTTTAGCCTGTGGGTTGCTGTGCTTGAGGAGCTGGAGGCAGCACCTCAAGGGCTTGGGGTGCTGTGAGCCTCGCCCCTGGTTGCCCTGCAGACCCCAGCCCTCGAGCATTCCCTGGCCTCCTCGGGGTACTCACATGTTGGCCTCAGGGGTGTCAGGCAGGGGGATGCGGAGGTAGGTAATATCCTGGAAGACACAACAGGAAGAGAAAAAGCTCAGGCACTGTAGTCAGGGTGTCATATGTGCTCACAGCTGGGCTGGCAGCACCTTTGCTCCTCACCCAGAGCTGCCTCTGGAGTTTCACTCCCCCTGCACAGCATCCCCCTACATGGGGAGGAGGCCACACTCTCCCTTGGGTGAGGGGGAGGGCAGGGGAACACCGGCAAGTCGTGGGTGGGGATGGGAAACAAGATGAGACTGGAAAGCTGGAAATTGTTTCCTGTCAGTGTTCAAGGCCGGGTTATAGTCCCAAGCCAGTTTCCCATGCCGGGGGGGCTGTCCAGCTCCTCTGGGAGCAGTGACCAGGGAGAGGTGTACGTGCCATGCGATGCTCAGAGGGGGAACAAGATGCAGCACGGAAGGAGCTGCAGGGATCTACACAGTGGTATCAGGTGCAGGATCCTACCTTCAGCAAGGGCTGGGGGGATTCATGGATCGAAACGATGTGGGTGATCTTGTTCCGGCTTAGCTGCTCCAGGTCTTTGGCATCTAAAGGATAAAATTAGAAACCAACATGTATTCATTTCTTACCCTTCTCTTCCCACAGTGCACCCACCGTGCTCCTGCAGCCAGCCAGCACTCAGAGCCTTTCTCCAGCAGATCAACTGCACCCCACCCCCACGTGCAGCAGCACAGACATGGGCAAACATGGAAATCTGGAATGCAAACCCCGTGATCCCAAACCACAGACCTCTCCCTGTAAAGGTACTTGCCCTCTCTGCTTATGCTGGGGGAAGCAGTCACACCTGCAGAGAAACACTCTGTGGCAATGTCCCTCCTGCCTGTACTTGTCCCCAGTTTGGGAGGAGACTCGTGCCCTGCCTGCACCTCCCTGGGCAGACACACCCAGCAGTGGGACTTGCTGCAGCCTGAAGGATCTGCTTTGTCTTGTGAATTATGGAAGTGGAGCTGCAGCAATTCATATCAACTCTTGGTTTGCTGTAGAAAACACATGAGCAGTGACTTGCAGTGCTCTGGTGTGTCCTCTCTGCAGCCATAAGGACAGGTGTGGGGTGTCCTCAGCTGTCTGGGGGGAATATGCCCTGCCTCTCAGCAACCCTTCAGCACCCTGGCCATGATCCTGGTCTCTGGTGCAGCACAACAGTTCTTGTGCTGGGAAGGGAGCGTGCTCGTCTTCCTGGGCAACTTCCAAGTGTCTCCCGTTCATGCCATGACCAGCGGACGCTGCAGGAGCGGCTGGGGAGGAAGAGGAACATTTGCCCATCTCATTCCTTTGGGTTTCTGAACTTTCACGTGGTGTAAAACCTTGGCTCAGGAATTCAGACTGTGATGTGCTAACGGCATGATGTGAATTTTAATAGGAGTGAGTCTCCAGGGAGAGGCTCTGTGGGGGAGCTGTGCTGTGCATGTGGGGAGGGACGTGGGGACCCTTGTGGGGACTCACACAGCACCCACCACCTTCCCATCTTCCTTGGCAGGCACTGACGGCAAGTAGTGACACTGGAATCAAGGCTTACAGGGGCTGGAAAAGCTTCCAGTTAGAGAAAACATCTCTGTGAGCTTAATGTTGTGGACCTGGAATCTTGTTGTCACCCTGGATTGCTTGGCCGAGCAACGCTCAGGAGGCATCAGACCAAGACCCCACAGCAGAGCTGCTCACAGGAACCCCTGTGATGAACTTGGGAGCTGGGTAGCCTTGTCCCTCTGCTCCCAGCAAGCCACAGCCCCCCCCAGCCCACCCCAAGGTGCTCCATAGGGTGCAGGGAGTACAGGGCTGCCATTCCAGTGACATTTCCTTAGCAGTTCACACCAGTGGTTTTAAACTTTCCCAGAGCTTACTGCAGAAATCAAGCTGCCAAAGGACCCATGAGGGAGGTGGGAGCACTAATAAATGTTGGTTTTTTATGGCAGATGCCAAGCCTTGGTCATGAATTGTTCCCTGGTAATGAAAACCCCTTAAAATAGTGACTTGGTGTGAGAAGGGGCGATTCTGCCTCTGGGAGAAATTCCCTCCTGAGGGTGAGCAGCTCCCTCCTGCCTTCTATAGCTGTGAAACTGGGAAGCACCATCCCAAGGTGCCCCAGTCCTGCTTCCTCACACTGGTGTGGCACCACCAGCTCCTCTGCTCCCGGCACAGGATCCATTTCCCCCCACTTTGGCCCCTTCACCCTGGGTGTCTGAAGAGCTCAGGGCAGCCTTTAAATCAGGAAACCATACAAAGGCAGAGGGTCTCTGCCTTGCATTCCTCACAATGCCTCCAATCCACTGCTGCCACCCCAAACCAGGCAGCAGAGCAGAGCAGAGCAGGTGGTGGGTGCAGGCAGGGCAGCGGGAGCAGGCAGGGCAGTGGGAGCAGGCAGGGTGTCAGGCAGAGTTTGCAGGCAGGGAGACACCAACTCAAGCAAGCCCCACTCCCCAGCTGGAGGACACCTCTGCAGCATCTGGGTTCCGCTTACCGACAAAGTTCCCAAGGTAGAGGCCAGGAAGGATCTGTGGAACACAAGGGGAAGTGGCAGCGTGAGCAGTGACCTTGTGCTGAGGGACCCAGTGTGCTGGGACCCCCTTTGGGAAGCAGCAACCTTGGCTGGAGGAGCCAAAGTTCTGGTGTCTGAGGTGACCATCACCAGCCCCAGGGCAGGAATGGTGCTGGTGCATTCCCAGGGCTGATGCTGCCCTGGCATCCAGGACACGGGGCTGGATGTAACCCTGGCACCTGCAACCATCTGATGCTGCACCCTCATGGGTGCTGGCAGTCAGACATGGCGTTTTTTATTGCTCATCTTGTTTATCATCAATAAATCCACCGTTGGGGTTTATTACCTGAGCTCAGCAAGTTCATACACCTCTGTACAGCCTTGGACTATACCCATGACCCACGTAAGTCCTGCTGCCTGAGAGATAGGAAAGCAACAGGCACAGAGAAGCTTGGGGGGATTTGGCTGTCCCCCTCCCAGCCCCAAGCTCTGTTCCCCACACTCTGCACTGCAGGGAGCCCATTTCTCACAGCCCAGGCATAGATTGCTCTGGACACCGTGCCTTCAGCTCATTTTCCCCTGGGAAATTCCACTTCTCATAATGAAAGGATAATTACTTGACAAGGCCTCTATTAACAGCATTGCAGATGCAGAAGCAGGACACCTTGCAACCCTTCTGACACAGAGCTGTTTTATATTCTCCCTCACTCACAGCCTGGGCAGTGAAGGGCTGTTCAATCCTGTATCCAGCTGGTTCTCCCCCAGCTTCTCCCTGCAGCAATGTTTGGTGCCCAGGGCAGGTGGAGGTGATTTCCACCAGCACAGCTGGGCTCACACTTGTCTCATTGCTCACATTTGGAAATGTTTCTCTCGGTTGAACAGCTTGGGTTTTTTTATGATTCCTAAGATTTTAGATCCATTTTCTACCGACGGGGTGCCTTTAACTCGCAGCTGCGGCACTGAGAGGAGCGGGTGGGAGAGAGAGCCAGTTAGCAAGGGCAGCTCCCAAGGGCAGGGCACTGAACCATGAATAAACAGCACGTGTCTGTCCCCAGCACCCTGCTGACCCACTCCTCGCAGGAGAAAACGGGACAGCACATAAATAAAATAGTGCCCATCCCCTCTGCCCAGTGACGCCAAGCCCCATGCACAGCCCAGCCTCACTAAGCAGGGGGTGTGGGACCACCAGGCTCGGGGTCTCACAGGGCTCCCGGTGTGTGCTTGGAGCTCTTCCTTAGGGTTAAGGCTGTTGGGAAAGGTTCCCCCCTCCCTCGAAGGGGCTCGCTGTGACCCCTGCCCTCCACAGCCCCTAAGCAGTGGTCGGGACGGGCCCTGGCGCAGTGTCCCGGTCTGTTTTTCTCCTCCGGTTCTACTCGCTCTGTCGGCAGGTAAACAAGCTGCCTGAGAGCCGAGTTCTGCGCCGGATCCCGTGCCGGGAGGTGAAACGCCGCTTGGCAGGGCAGGGGCAGCCGCCAGGTGAGGGTCTCCCACCTTCGGCCCCGGACGGACCGCGGAGCAGCCGCCCCCGCGCCCCCGTTACCTGGCTCATGCCGTTCCCCATGGCCGACCGCGGGCGCCGGGGGAGGGCACGGGGCGCGAGTGTCCTTGTCCCCAGTGCTGCCGTCCTCCCCGTCCCCGGGCGCGGCTGCCGTCCCCGCTCCCTGGTCGGGTTTCCGTCATGAAGAGCTCGGTTCCTCCGGGGTCGCTGCTCGTTGCCAGCGCGGCGGGGCCGGGCCGGTGGCTGTGCCGGGGCGGAGGGGACCGCGGCCGCCGTGCTCCGCGGATCCTGCCGAGGCCCTTCCCCGGCTGCTCCGCCGCTGCCGCGCACCGGCTGCTGCCTGGCCGGGAGCAGACAAAGGAGGAGAAACTCCCCCCCTGCGCCGTGGCGTGGGAGCACGGGGCCGCGCTGGCTGCTGCCTGTCGCCGCTGCCCGCGGCCGCACAAGGCTGCACTGTTGGGAGAAGAACAAAACCTTTGTCCTGCTCCATCAAGGAAGGTCTGTGCGGCCACGCGGCGAAGCGCCCGGCAGCGTGCCCACCCCTGCCCACGCCGTGCCCACCCCTGCCTGCGCCATACCTACCCCTGCCCTGCCCGCATCGTGCCCACCCCTGCCTGCGCCATACCTACCCTTGTCCTGCCCGCTCTGTGCCCACCCCTGCCCGCTCCGTGCCCACCTGCAGGCAGGTGCCGCAGAGTCCCTGCCTTGCCCGGGGCGCTGCGCGACCGTCCCGGCGACTTTGCAGGGCAGCGGGATGGGCAGTGCCAGCGGGGGCCGGGGGCGAGGGGTTCCCGCTGCCCGTCACCAGCCGCCGCAGCGCTCAGGGAGGGTCGGGCCGAGGGTGCCCCGGGGGGCTCGGGGCGGACCGGGGGGTTCGGGCCGGTTTTGGGGGGGCGGTGTCGGGGTTCGGGTGCCGCGCGCGCCCCCTGGCGCACGGCGGCGCGGTTGCCATGGGGACGGGGGGGGATGGGGGGGATGTGTCGGGGGTCGCAGCCCAGCCCGAGGGGCTCCCGGGGGGCTCCCAGCGCTGTATCCCCGCTCCTGCACATCCCCCGGGCAGCGTGGTAAGGCCCAGCCGCTCCCTGTGCAGCACAGCCCTCCCCCTCTTCCTTCCCCAGCCCTGTGTGGGGAGTATCCTTGAGAGCTATGGGCGAGTTTAGATGCAACACGTAACACAGAATCACAGAATTAATTAGGTTAGAAAAGGCTTCTGAGATCGTCGGGTCCAACCTATGACCAAACACCACCACGTCAGCTAGACCATGGCACTCAATGCCATGTCCAGTCTTTCCTTAGACGCCTCCAAGGACGGCGGCTCCACCACCTCCATGGGCAGCCCGTTCCAATGTCTAATCACCTTTTCTGTGAAGAAATTCCTCTTAATGTCCAACCTGAACCTCCCCTGGCGCAGCCCTGTCCTGTCCTGGGTGTTGTGTCCATGCAGCACAGCAGCTGAGCAGGATGTGATCCCACTGGGAGCCCTTACCCTCACCAGCCATGGCATTTGAGCAGCCTGGTCTAGTGGAAGGTGTCCCTGCCCATGGCAGGGGGTTGGAAGGGGATGGTCTTCAAGGTCCCTTCCAACCCAAACCGTCTGTGACTGTGAATGGAGTCTGAGGATGGTTTGTAATGCTGGGCTGACACCTGTGGTGGTTCAGGAGTGGTGGGGCTGGGCTGCTGTAGGGTTCCTGTGGGCAACTGCCTGCCCTGGAGAGGTGGGTGCTGGCTGCATGGAAGAGCTACAGTAGGAATAGTAGAACACGGATTGTAAGACCTGCTCTATTCTAGCTCCCCGTGTTCATGCAGAGAGACAGAAAATCGAAATTGAGCTTCCTCCTTCACGTAGAAAAAGCAGTTCTCAATGGTATCCCTATTTATTTATTTTTCCCCTCAGAGTATGTGGTGCAGTTGGTCCCCAGAAACTTCTCGAGGGTAATTAAAGTGAGTCAGACTGTGGGAGCATTTGTTGTGCTGAATCTTATATTTCTCTTTCTACCCAGCTGAGTCAGAACAGCTGCTTAGCAAAAGATCTGAAGAGATTTTGGAAGGAGTTAGAAAAAGAAGCAGGAAAGCCTGAGGCAAGAAAATGTGCCTTTATTCTGAAGACCCTCAAAATGCCTTCAGAGTACTACTTGTTTGTGGAAGCATTTTGCAAGAACCCTGGCATCACTTGGGTTATGAAGCTGGTAAGTGTGTGCTTTCCCAAGGAAAGTGAGAGATGAATAGATGCCTTCGTTCCGCAGAGGGAGAGGAAAATATGCAGGAAACCCGCAGGAAGAATTGGGCAAAGCAAGGTGCCGTGGAGCAGCAGTGCTCCTGGCCAGGTTCCTGGTCAACATGTACCACCAAAACACTGCTTCTTGTGTAACAGTTTATTTCAGCAGTGGAAAGTCATCTCAGTTTATTTGTAGAGCCAAAGTTAACTCAGTGGTGAGGGTATAAAGTGCAGAGCTCAGTGTGGAGGAACAGAGTGTGCTCCCGGAGGTTCTGGCCGAGTTCATGCTCTGAAATCTTTCAGTTCTGCTGCAGGTGTGCAAGAAGGTGTGTGTGGGGGGGTGGTGGTGTGCAGGGCAGGTGGTTAATTTGGCTTCTGGTTAATGAGCATCAGCCCCTAAAGAGGGATCTATGAAAACATCTGTTCGGTTTTAGGGAAATCCCACTGCATTAGATGTCAGCCAGTGTAAGTCTGGCGTAAGCTTACTGAGTGGAATTCTATCCTGAGAATGTAAAGACATTAAAAGAGACTCATTATCAGAGAATCTCAGAAAGGTTTGGGTTTGAAGGGACCTTAAAAACCACCTCGTACCAACCTCCTTCCACTAGACCAGGTTGCTCCAAGCCCTGTCCAACCTGGCCTTGGACACTTCCAGGGATGGGACATCCATTAGCAGCCTGGAGCACAAGCTGGGGTAGGTTTGGTTGGAATGAGCTTCTCTCTGCTCTGAAGTTAGAGACATGAAGGGGAGCCTTGTGCTCTGAATCACCTTTGTCCCCCCAGACCTACAGCTGCCTGGAGCTGTGCCGAACACACCAAGTTCCACTTCAGCCAGGGACCTGGGGATTAAGGAAAAATTGTGCTTCCTTTAGAAATTCTGACAGCACAAATTGACACTGAGAAATGCCTTTGCTTCTGCTGGAGGCTTCAAGCCATTTAATGTCTTGAGTGTTGTGCCATGGTGCCTAATTTAAAACACACCCATCCGTGAGCCCTGCGAGTGAGCAGTCCCTGTGCTTTGTGCAGCAGGTCTGGCAAGGAGGCTGGGACAGGAGGATTTGTCTTACCCTTGTGAGAAGTGACTGGGAGGTAATTATGCAAACTAACATGTGAATTACAGCCAGGAGGATAGCAGCTAGTGATTATCTAACTCTACAAATGGGAATGTGTTAATTGGCAACAAAACCCTTAAATTAAGCTGATGTTATGCCCCACAACCTCAATTAACATGGTAAATAACCACAACACAGTAAACAAGGATATATGAAAAGCCTGTGATTACTGAAATTATACCAACAACATAAACAGTTTGTGGCTGACCTCAAAACTTGAGCAGGCAAGTAAAAATAAACCTCATGTTACTCCTTCTGGTGTTGTGATGTCCCGAGTTGCCCACTCCCACCCTCAGAGGCAGTAGTAGGTCAGGACATGCCCAATGTTGCATCCTGGGGCTGCAGGAAGCAGGACCTGCTTTGGAAGGTGTTCCTGGGGAGCTGCTCCTCGGGTGCCTTATCCGGGCCACTCCTCATCCTCTTTTGTACAACGTGCAGTCAAGCCTGTCTTCAGGATTTTTCTGCTCGTTTGCCATAGTTCCCCGATATTTTTCTTGACTTTCCTGTTTAATTAAGTTCTTCTATAACATACACAAATTTAAAATGGGACTTCAAATTCCCAACAACATATGTTGCGTTACGTATATTTCTGGAAGCGCGTGACAGAGTTTGTTTATTCGGTGCTGTGGGACTTCCCCATAGGCTGCCTTTCCTCCAGGAATCCTCCAAACACAAATCTGAGCTTTTTTTGTTGGATTCCCCTGCCCCCATAAACTTAAATAAACGTGCTTGCACACAAACAGCTGATGAATCAGGTTATGCAGGGCTTCTGCGCTGGAATTCTGGGAAACCGCAGGAATTGCTAATGTTCACGCCACTAACTCTGCTCTTCCATCTGTAGGTTGGCAAGTCACAAGGTGAGGAAATGTTCCTGAAAACTGAAGGATATAATTGATTGAAGAAGGTGAGAATGACTCTGTCTCTTCTTTGGGAATATCCAAAGGGCATTTTGTTCTTCTTGCTTTTATTTCATCCTCTCCTTCTGCCAGTGGCTTGGTCTGTTCTCCTGTGCCCTTCTGCTGCAATATTCCTTCATCATTCCCCAGGGCAACAACAAAGGCTTTTACAGTGTATTTTGCAAAATGGATACTTGCTCTGGGATCTACTTCTTACACTTTGTGTACATATTTAGACACAAACTTTCAATCTCAGGTACACATAACACCAGGCAGAAACTGGGTTATATTCTACATTTATATATATAAATATATTTTATATATAATATACATATATTTTATAATATATTTGTACTGTACATTCTTGGGGTGGTCGTGCACAGCCCCAAGAGCTGGACTTTGATTCTTGTAGGTCCTTTTCAACTCGGGATTTTCTGTGATTCTAAGATTTCTCTCCACTTCATAGGTTGAAAGTTTGACATGCGACTTTATGTTCCAGCGACAGCTGTAAGTGCAAACCACCATTATTATGCCAGAAATGGATTTCCTTCACTTAATGCCCAGTTGCTCTTTTCCTCTTCTCCCAGTACACTCCTCTGAAGGCCTGGTTATACTGAGGTGGATTTGCTTGCTTTTCTAATGCATGATTTACTCAGAATAGCAGAGGCGATCGCTGTATCCTGCCTGTGCCATATGGAAGGGTAAGAAAAGGACTGTACAGTTCTACTGCCTGGTATTAGATACATCAGATGAACTTTGTCACTTCCAGCTCCTGCAAACACCTACAGGACTCGGCTGTCCCATCGCTGCTGTTGTCACCCTGTCTCTCTCCAGTCCTTTTTCATTGGAAAACTGGTGTCACCAGATCACTGGAAATGTCAGTTTGACAAATCAGCTCAGAACAAAGCTGAAATGTCACTCCTGGTTTTATTGTTAGTGGTTGAATTTTGGCAGCCTTTCTTCTTCCTTGGGTTCACAGAACGTAAGGACAAGGTGATTCACGGGGGAGAACTATTTGATTTCCAATGTGTCACACTTGCTGCTGTATTGAGTTTGATAGCTTTCATTTGATTAACACATCTTCCCAAAAGGTATGCCACCTCAATTTGATGGCTTAGGAGACAGGAAAATCCATCACTTCCCTCTGAGAAGGTTCAGCAGAGTTCATGCTTGCTCTGAATGATCAAAAGCCTTTACAGAGTGGGGGTGCAGCAGCCTGCCTTAGGGGGAAGGTACACTGAGGTTTGGAGACAAGGTGACATGAAGAGTTTCATGGAAAACCATGGAATGGTTTGTTTTGGGAGGGTCCTTAAAGCTCATCTCATTCCAACCCCTTGCCACAGGCAGGGACACCTTCCACTATCCCAGGTTTCTCCAAGCCCCACCCAACCTGGCCTTGGACACTTCCAGGAATGGGTGTTACACAATCCACCTCTGAGGTGGTAACTAAGGTTCTTGTTAATAGAATTATAATAATTCACCCTCAGGGTGAATTGGAGTGAAACAACACTGAATGACCCGTGTACATCTACGGGGCACGTTTATATTAGAACAATTTAATTGCAGCAGAAAAGAGATACGCAACCATTTTGGTTCTTTTCTATAAAAATATAAAGATATCATGAAGAAAATAGATAAGAAAGAAAGAG